CCCTCCCTCTCCCTTCTCCGCAGGCCACCTCTGCACAGGAGTATGTAAACTTGAAGAACTCGGGCTTTTTCAGTTAAAACCTACCCTTGCATCGGAGCGCAGCAAACATGCCTGAACAAAGCAATGATTACAGGGTGGTTGTGTTTGGAGCAGCAGGTGTTGGCAAAAGCTCCTTGGTCCTTCGTTTTGTAAGGGGAACTTTCAGGGAAACCTATATCCCCACAATCGAAGATACCTACCGGCAGGTAATCAGCTGCGATAAGAGCATCTGCACCCTTCAGATTACAGACACCACGGGAAGCCATCAGTTCCCTGCTATGCAGAGGCTGTCCATATCCAAAGGGCATGCTTTCATCTTGGTGTACTCTGTCACCAGCAGGCAGTCCATGGAAGACCTTCAGCCCATCTTTGAACAGATTTGTCAGATTAAAGGGGACATCCAAAAAATTCCAATAATGTTGGTGGGTAACAAAAGTGACGAGACCCAGCGGGAGCTGGATGCCAGCGAGGGGCAAGCGTTGGCCAGCAAGTGGAAGTGCTCTTTTATGGAGACATCAGCCAAAATGAACTACAACGTGCAGGAACTCTTCCAAGAGCTCTTGAATCTGGAGAAGAGGAGAACTGTCAGTCTCCAGGTGGACGGCAAGAAATCCAAGCAGCAGAAAAAGAAAGATAAACTGCAAGGCAAGTGCTCTGTTATGTGATTGACTGTGGCTGGACTTGCACCACTGCATGGTGTAATCAGGGCATGGACTCCCACAGAAAATACATTTCTGCTGGAGGTTTCAGATGAATCCATGCCTTATAGGGCTACAGCTTTTCTCTAAAATCTCTGCTGGGTTATTTTATGTATTGGTTTGAAAGAGGATGGCTTTCTGCATGTTTGGGTTTTTTTTTAAATAATAAACGTTGAATGTTAGCAATTACATGTGACTACAAGTTTTTAATGCAAGAAGTTTACAGAAGAGAAAATTGTCAGTCAGAAACAAACATCTCTATTCCTGTGAGTACATGCTAGTTTTTAGGTATTTCCAGCCTATTATCTCGAAAGAAGCCATAGTATCCATGATGTGTATACTTCAAAAATTGTTTCCAGGAATTTACTGACCAGAGCAAACCTTTAACAAAGCTAGGCATTGGCACTGCATACGAACGTGTTTGTGGCTCCAGATCCTTACGTTTTTGGCAGACAGACTGGCTCACCTACCAAAGATGCAGTTTTTCCATGGTAGAAGTTTTCCCGTGTGCTATGCCGTTCCTGAGACCTGTGCAGTTCTGTGAGTGATTACAGCTATACCTGCATATAATCGGGCTGTTTGCTTTTTTTCCCCTTTTGCTCTGACTTCCCCTGTTTGCCAAGGTAGAACGTTCCACATCCTCTGGCTCCAAATCCAGGGATGATTCCTGGCGCCCTTAGGCAAGAGCTTAATGAAGGTAATCTCCTTCATGAAGGTAATGAGGCTGTTTGTTGTAAGTACCAGTCGATTTAGTAGCTGGTTATCTTGGCAATTTGCCTTTCTTTTCCCACCTGTCAGTCTGGTTTGCATGTGGCTGAAGCTACTTGTGCAATCTTCTTGGAGGTCTCTTCGATATTATTTTTTGTTCCTCTCTTATTTCATCCAAGTTACCCAGGTTTGAGTTGAGACTTAGGACAAGTCGGTTCAGATAGTGCTGCTTCGGGAAGAAACATCTGAACCTGGAAGCTGCATGCCTAAAGCAAACTCCTCTCTGACGAAGCTTTCAGCAGACACTTCCCATGAATGAAAGAAATGGAGACATGGGCTTGGTCTATCTCTTGTCTTCCCTCCACTTTTTTTTTTTTGCTATTGTTAGCAAGAGTCAGACATGGTAAGCCTCATCTGCAGTGCATGGTTGAGAAAGATTTTAAGAAAATAAGTGCAAGCATTCTCTCAGACTATGCTGTGGGTTTTCTGCTTTGTGTGTGTATTAGTCCAAGCAGAAGACTGTAGCACTTCAGTATTGCACTGCAGATTTTATTTTTACACAGCAACATAGTCGTGACACGAGAGACGTGGGAGAGAGGAGTCGCTTCTTTTTATAGCACTTTTCTAGTGAAATGATTTTATTGTTGAAGATGAACAAAATACGGAACAGAGATGCTGGAAAGTACATACCCTTCTTAGTTTGAAAGCATTAGTGTCTATTAATAACTGCTGGTTTTCTACGTAAGATGCTAGAGAAGGGCCTGTTCTCTCGGCCATTATTTGTTCATGTGTTACAGACTAATGCACAAAGCCATGAGGTTTGTACCCGTGTGAAGATCTCACATACTTGAACAACTCTTCCAGTCAGTGCTGGCTCCTGATGCTGCGCTGTCTCCTGTGTCTGCCCGTGAGCTGCTTTGGTAGGCTCCTCAGGCTGCTCCTGCGCCGACGTGGTGGCAGGTCGGTTAGCTCTGCGTGTGCCGAGGGAGCTTTGCCCCAGTTACAGCCGGAGCTCTCGCCCCGTTTGATTCAGCGGAAGATCTTACTCGTTACGATTTCGGAAACACAAGCAACTTCTGCGTGAGTGTTCGGTGCTGACTGAAACGTTACGCTTGCTTGCCAAAATAAAGCGCGGATTTGCCAAGCTGAGGCAAAGGCTCTACACCTGATTTTTCTTATCGGAGGTGATATCCCGCAGGTCCCACGAGCTTGCTGTGCTGTCTGGGGTAGTGCTCTGTGCCACTGCTGTGTGTAACCTTCACTCCTGTTGCAGTCAGGGTGAGTCAGGCTGAAGAGCGGCTGTAGAAGCAGCCGTAATGGCTTTGCTTGAAAATAGCTCTTGCTTTTTTTCCTCTCTAACTTTGTGCATGGATTTTGATCTCTCTGTTTTCTCATTTCCAAGCAGTTATGCAATGCTTCTCTGTGGGTCGTTTTTAGCATCTGGCAATTATTATTGCGAAGACTATTTCAGTTCCGTTCCAGCCTTTGAAACCCCTGTAAGACGTTTTATATTTAAGCCTTTTTAAAATGTCATGAGACCTAATAATGTCTCTACAACTCCCACTGCCTTCATGAAGTGCCAGTGCGAAGGCAGGGCAGCATGTATCTGCGATTATTCACGCAGCTGAGATGTTCTGTAATGTGTCATTATCGCTGTGGTGGTGTGCCCGTACGGGGTACGGAGATTGCTGAGGACCGGGGTCCGGCAGAGCGCAAGGAACAGCTAATATGAACGCAACGGGCTCGGTCCCGCCTGCACCCGGCAGAATTGCTGGCAGATCCTCCACGCTGCCGTTGGTGGCCACGAGAGGAGGTCCCACGGACTGCGTGGACGCTGGAGGTGCTGGGGTGGGGATGCTGAGGTGCTCCTGGCGAGAAAGGGTGGTGGTGCGGGGGCATCCGCCTCCCAAGCCCCAGCCTAGAGCAGGCTGGGGACGTGTGACACCTGGTGTGGCTGCCTTTCCTGATGTGTAAATCATCTATGTTTTGGGTGTGCGAGATCAACTGTATTGCAGATTAAAACGGTGTTAATAAATAAATTGTATAATTGTATTTGTTTCTGTATAAACTGCGCTAGTCTGATTTTCGTGCATGTGTAATCTATCATTCTTAATCAGAAGAGAGATTTATTTTAATTAAACTGATGCCTGTCAAGATGTTGGCTATTGAAAGTTCCATACAAACCTAAATTAAAGGGTAGCGTCTTCACAATCTTCCAGGGAGCTATGTAGAGAGCAACTATAATAAGTAACAGAGTGAAAAATAGCGTGTTGCTTGGGGACGCTCATTAATCGTTATAAAACAGTGGCCACGTTCCACTTGTAAATCAGTGTATAAACCTTGTATTTGGATCTGCTTCCTCGTAACCAGGATCTGCTGGGTATGCGTGTGCTGGGGCAGGCGGTGGCATCGTTCCTCTTGTGCTCTCATAACCAGCCATCGTGGGCTAACGTCGTCGTTCTGGGGTGATGGTGTAGCTGTAGAGCTACGGCCTTCAGATTAACCCTGGAGAATAGCTGAAGAGCCATCGTTTTTAGGGACTGATGGGTAAGTATTTGCCAAAACCGTACTTGAAGTAATACGTGCCTCTTACAGATGCCATTTGAGGGGTTTATTACACACATCCTTAAGTTTTTTCTCATGTAGGAGCATTTTGCTGAATTAGAGGACTAATGATTTTTCTTCAAGGATTTAAGTGTTTTTTGTAGTCTAAGGAATATATGTTGGAAGTAAATGCTCTAGCCTTTTTTGAATTAGTGCAGTTTAAAAAAGTGAACAGATCTGTTTTGTTGTTTTGTGTGGTTTGTTTTTTTTTTTAAAAAGCAGAAGACACTGATGAAAGACCGTCAGGTAGAATCATTTGTCTGGAGTAAACAAGCAGTTCTGATCTCTGGTACAGCTCCTGTGTTACGTTACAGGCGTTGTCTTTAACCGCTGTTTGCCAACAGCATGCTTTTTCATGAGGCAGTGACAACATGTTTTTTATGGAGCTATTTATGCACCCTGTAAACTCTTCAGCTTGGAGACATGCCGTGTTCGTAGCTGGCGAGCAGAATGGTAACTCGCTATTTCTCGAGTTGGTTGTTTTTCTCTCTGTCTTTTTAATTATTCTCCACCCCCTTCAGTCAAACTCCATTCAGCCGCAGAACTTGCTGGTTTTCTGAAATGTCCTTCATGAGTTCAGATGTGGTAAGACAACGTCATGGAAGACGCTGATACAACGTGTTGAGTTGCTGTTGCTGCCTCCATAACATCTTTCCGGGATCATGAGGTGAACGCAGCTGACTAAAAATTCTCTGTGCAACGTCTTGAATGATGATCGTGAGACCTGCCAGTAGCCTGGGTGGCTGGATGAAGGCTGAGGCACTTCAGGCAAGGTCACTTACTGCGTTTACTCGCTACCCTCTGTCTGAGGACTTGATAAGGACTGGCGATTCCTAGCTTTGTCCAGCTAGGTATGTATTTCCAGGAATAATTTAACCCCGTCTTTCAGTTTCTCCACCAAGCAGCTGCTTTAAGTTGGAAGCAACATGGACTGAGTGGAGCATTAACACAGGTTTTCCTTAGATCTGCGTTTCAAGATCCCAAGCTTGCTTTAAAGCTTGGCTCAAATTTTGCTCTTAAAAATCAATTCCTTGATTTCTGCTACTGTAGAGCTCTAAATAATTTTCAGAAACATCATTGCAGTGCATTTCCGAGAACTTGTTAAGCGATATTCAGACTAGAAGGTGGCAAGTCAGAAGTGTTTCAATGGACAAAGATAGTAGCGTTGCAGGCTTTCTGTTTCTTTGCTGGAGGAAAAGAAGTATGGCACCTTTCATTTTAAAGCTGTTCCAAGGTTTCCTCTCTGCAGTCCAGAATTTAAAACATTTCTCAATTAGTAGTGCTTATTGTTTCCATGCAACACTTGTCGACTGGCTGGAGGCAGCTTCCTTCCTGAGTCTGGCCAGCAAAGTTAGCGTCAAGAGAAAATACCAGGGAGGAGAATCACGAGCAGCTCTTCTACGCCTTGCAAGAGAAAAATGTGAGCAGTAGCTGGAGTGTCCACCCACACATGCATTTTAAAAACAAGCAGCCAGAATATTGCTATATTCTAATTCCTCTTCCCAGAGCAAAGCAGGCACATGATTAATGTAACAAACAGCTCTGAATAATAGCAATATTGCTTTATATGCATGGTCTGTTCCTACAAGGTACTCTGTGCACTCTAGAAGAGTAAAAGCGCATCTTAATCATCGTCTGCCATCTTCTGCAGTTTCTGTGGCATAAATTAAGTACGTCAAAAGGGTCTAAGAGCATAATGAAAATGCTAAAGACCACTTAAAACTAAGTGGAGCATAGCAGCCTCCTCCTTAATGGCTATTGCTGCATGCTAGGCTAGCACTGCTACCCCTAATAGTTTCCTTTTCCCCCCTTTTTGAACACACATCTAATAATGCAATAGAGCAGGAGGAGCGAAGAAAGGAGGGAAAGACCCG